CAAAAAGCTGACCTCCGTAGGACATGAAATTAAATGAGAATTTACACACAAGCTTATGGCAAAATAGCGAAGCCAGCAAGTGTCCTTGAATATCAGCCAGGCCAATGAAGGGGTGTGGGATGGATTGGGGAGATTGGGATGGACATATAAACACTACTATGTATAAAACAGGTAACTAATAAGAACCTGCTGTAAGCACAGGTGCTCTGTGGTAACCTAAATGGGAAGGAAATCTAAAAAAGAGGAGAAATATGTATAAGCACAACTGATTCACTCTGCTATACAGCAGAAATGAACACAACATCGTAAAGCAACTATACTCCAATAAAACACATGGCAAAGCTTTGGCCTGGGTCATTTTTTTTTAAGTAACTTTTATTGGGATTGACATATATACACTACTATGTATTAAATAGATAACTAATGAGAACCTACTGAACTTGCCACCTGTCCTGCTGAAATTCAATGCAAGTCCTGAGAGGTGATGAGACTTGGCCAATATCATGCAGCTAAATAGACATGGCAGAGCAAGCACTAGGCACAGAGCTCCAGAAGACAACTTCACCTCCTTCCATAGATAAGGGGGAGAAAATTCCAATGATAAGGATGATGATAAAGGGTCACAGTCGCTGAGCAGTGACTACGGCAGGTCCTGCTCTATGAGGCTTCTAAGCCCAGTCTCAGTGAATCCTCACACAGACCTATGACATAGGGGCCCTCATCATCCCATTTTTAAAGACAGGAATCTGAGAATCAGAGATGCGCCGCAAATTTCCCAAAATTTCACACCATTAAGTGGCTGAGCTGGGACTGAATCTGGAGCCATTTGACTTGAACCCATTTCTCTTTAGATCAGCCCGACAACCCCTCTGGGGACTGCAGGGAACATGACTGACTGAACTGGACACCAGGGCAGTAGGGGGCGGGGGCAAGTGAAATTAACCTGAGAGGGTCCTAAAGGGAACAAATGCTGCTTGAAAATGCAGGTCCAGTATTACCAGATCTATTGGTTTCTCAAGAGAAATCAGAAAATCAGGATTTCTATGTGAAACCTCCCAGTTTTTTAAATGTTGGTCATTGGTTCTAAGTTGGTTTTAAAACACTGTACACCATAGAGGCTAAAGAGATTTCACAGCCAAACGCAGTGAGCCTTGACTGAAATCCTGGTTTGAAAACTCAATCTCTAAAAGACATTTCTGGTGTATGACCGGGGAAACAGTAATACGATTGGCTATTTGATGATGTTATGGAATTTTTGTTCCTTTTTGGGGGCAGAATACTGGAACTGTGTTATGTGGGAGAAATGTCCTTGTTCTTAGGAGATCCACGCTAAAGTATTTAGGGATGAAGTGTCATGTCTGCAACTTATTTTCAACTGCTCAGCCAAAAAAAAAGAAGGAAAAAAGAGAGGAAGGAAGGGAAGAAGAGAGGAAGGAAAAAAGGAAGGAAGGAAAGAAGGAAGAGGGAGAGAGAGATAGCCATAAAGCAAAGGTGACAAAATACTAATAACTGTTCAGTCTAGATGAGTAGTTTTTGACTGGGAGTGACTCCGCTCCTGGATGACTTTTGGCAATGTCTGAGGACACTTTAATTGTCCCGACTGCAGTGTGGGTGGGTGCCACCAGCACCTAAGGAGGCAGGGTCCAGAGATGCTGCCAAACACCCAGCAATGCACTGGACTGCCTCCCACAGCAGAGAACAATCAAGCCCCAAATGTCAAGAGTGCCAAGGGGAGGAAATCCTGATCTAGATGAAAGATATACTGGAGTTTATGTTTATTCTTCTTTCAAGTTTTCTGCATGTTTAGAATGTTTCACAATAACAAAACTGGAACAACTTAAGAATTCATGTGTGCAGGCTCAATTGCTTCAGTCATGTTTGACTCTTTGCAACCCTATGGACTGTAGCCCCCCAGGCTCCTCCATCCATGGGATTCTCCAGGCAAGAATACAGGAGTGTGCTGCCATGCCTTCCTCCGGGGAATCTTCCAGACCCATGGATAATACTCGCATCTCCTGCATCTCCTGCGTTGCAGGTGAATTCTTTACCCACTGAGCCACCTGGAAAGCCCAAAAATAAGAATACAGACATAGAAATATGTTGCAGACCAAATAAAATGTGTCTGCATGGTTTGGTACTATTTGGTACCCACCATTTGCAGTCGCTCCTTCCAATAAATAGTGACTGAATGTGGCTGCGGTTATATCTGCTGTCGAAGCATCTATACAGTTTTCTCCACATCACAGGCCAGGCCTGCGCACACTCTGGAATTGCTGGCTCTCCCCTTTTTCAGTCCTAATCAGCCCAGAAGAAAGCAAGCGATGTGCCCAGGCCTCTGAGCCTGGAAACTGACCTCATCAAACACAAGCACACGGGTCACTAGAAGCAGTCAGCGGTGTGACGTGGGAGCAGCACATGCTATAAGTCTTTGAGGAGAAGGTACTCTCGGGTAAGGTAAGAACAAACTTCCCATTCTAGTGACCCCTGCAGCTCGAGACAAAATTAAGAGGCTGCAGCCAGCAGGTTAATTTCACCTGAAAGCCACCCTACAGTCTCTCTGATGCAGAGCTTGGCATGCTGGACCCAGCCAAACATCCTATGGTCCATGCGGGCAAAAGCGAATGAGCCATGGCTGGGATAGGAAATGATTAACTGCATCAGTAGAGCAGGATGCACTTGGTGAGTACTTGGGGCAGCCCCCAGCACCATAGAAACACACCCAAAGCTACACACACAGGGAGAACCAGCAACACAATGTAAGTAAGAGTCACACTGAATGAATCCATCCACCCTCCTTCCGGGAAAACAGTCCCAAGTCAAGTGTGGACCACTTTACACAAGCCGTTCAGGGAGGTGGTAAAAACACAGACTTCTGAGGCCCAGATAGATGGATTTAGAATCTCTCTGGATCAAGTGCAAAACTGTGCATTTTAGGAAGCTCCTCAAATTCTGATGCTCACTCAACCTGAAAACATCTGCCCCACACACAGCTGACACCGGGGGACTAAGGAATGCGCAATTTTCTCTGTGACCTTGAGCAAGCTACCAATCTCAGCTATGATTTGCTCCTATGTAATACAGAATTAGTACCTGTCTCATCACTGTGCAAACTAAATGATGTTTACACACACACACACACACACACACACACACCCCCCTAGTACAGTGCCTGGCACCCAGAACTGTGCTCAGCAAATGTTACTTCCTTTTCCTGGACAGTGACTGACTGAACACCATAAAGCCCGGAGAGATACACAAAGTATTGATGTACAGGCCCCACCCTAGAGATCCTGACTTGAACCATCTAGGGTAGGGCCCCTGGCAACGGGGTTTTTAAAAAAAGCATTCCAGGTCACCCTAAACATCAGCCAAGGTTGAAAACTATACCTTAGGAGTCATCAGTAAAAAATCAAGCATTCTTTCTTTTCAGGAGTATGTACTTCACTCCAGCCTGGAATTCTCAAGATATATGCAAGGGGAGCCTGTGCTGGGGCTCTGCGACCCCAGGACTGGATACCCCCTAGATTCCACCACCAAGGAGACCTTTCCCGGTACCTGTAGAGGAATGTGGCTGCAGCCTGCTGGGCTGCAAGCGGGCAGGGCCAGGAAGTTGAGTCCCTGGGGCCTCAAACCAGCATCACTTTCTCCCACAGTTGCCCAAAGGTTAGTGCTCCTCCCCAGCTTCCCACCTCCCTCCTCCCGCCTCTCCACCCCCATCCCAACCAAACGAGGAGGAGAGCTCCCGAAGCCCTGGTTTGCAAGGCAAAGGCTCCAAGGAGCTTTCAGCAGAGGAATTAAGTCGAAATCTGCCAGGCAGCCTACCCATCCCTGGGTGAATTTCCCTACCGAGGCAACAGTCGCTGCCGCAACCCTGCTTCCGAGTCTCGCTCGCAACACCAGACCCTTGGCGAGGACAGCGGGGGGACGTGGAACCACCGGCCCGTGGGGTTGGCGATCGGGCACCTTGGGGTGGCAGGAGGTGGGCGGGGCCCGCGCTTGACTCTTCTGGTAGGTCAGGCTTTCTTGAAATCCCTGGGAGAGGGGGGTTTCTGTGCCTCTTGATCCCACCAACCATCCACACCTCCCTGCTAACCCAAACCAAGAGGAACTTCCTCACCTCTTTCTTCCCCCAAATACTTCCCTTGGGGTGGGGAAGGGGGGTGGGGAATCATCCGATAATCTGCATATAAATAGAAAATAATTACTAGTGAGGTGGTGGTGATGTTCCTCGCCTATTTTTGGTGGGTCTCTTTGTTGAGATTTTTTAGGCAGGCACACGGAGCGCGTGCAGACACACGCGCGCGCACAGGCAGCCGGAGGTGCGGGGTGTGTGTGTGTGTGTTTGGGGGTGGGGGGAACACATGGCGACTCTGTTGAGCGTATACGGAAAGAGAATAAACCTTGTTCCTCAATCATCCGGCTGTGTGCAGGCGACCCCGCGCTCTTTAACACCCTCCCGCGTCCCCCCTCACCCCAGCCGGGACCCCACACCAACCCCTGGCCTCTCCCCGGCCGGGGGTTGCATCCTCCTGTCTGCGTCTTCCGCCTCCAAAGTTACTGGGTTGTGCGAATCGATTTAGACAGTCAGGGAAGAAAAAAAAAAAAAGGCAAATAGCTCCATTAATCCCCAAATGCCTTCTCCCATCTGCTGCGACTTGCTCGTGCTGGGACTTGCATAATGAATTAGTCAAAAGGGAAAGTTGACGAATCAGGGTGTCTAGGGGGTGAAGGCACACTGGGAGGGGGCTCCGGCCCTGGGAGGCCACACCAGCCCGCGCAAAGGGCGCAGCGCCANATCCACACACACACTCTCACATCCACACCTGCGCTGAGGTCCCCGTCCCCTCTCTGAGCTCCCAGCCCAAGTTGGCTGCCCGGGTGACATCCCCCCGCGAAGAGGCCGGGGTGGAGGGGGAGCGCCATTGCCTCCGGGAAGGTGGGGAGGGGAGGGGAGGGAGAGCGGCGCCCGGGGAGTGGGGGGGCGGGGGGCGGCAGCCCACCTGGACATGTGCTCCCTTTGGGGCCGGTGCGCTTTCTCCAGCCCCAGCTTGGTGAAGATGCCCACGAGCACCATGACGGCCACCACCCCGCAGATGATGTAAACGATCAGGTTGGTCTTGTCCTTGGTGGGGTCGTGCAGGGGGTCGTCCTTGCGCGCGGGGGGCTTGCCGGTGTTGAGCCAGAGAGGAGTGTCGTAGTTGGTGCAGGTGCTCTGATTCAGTCGCCGCTTCTTAAACGTGCAGCAGAACCGGAAGCCACAAGTCCCGCAGCAAAAGATGAAGTCGCCCGAGCTGCAGTTGAACGGCGGGTCCCACTGGCCCATGACATCGAAGTAGCCCCGGCAGAAGTCCGGCGTGGGCGCCCGGGTCGGGGGCGCGTCCGAGACCCCCACGCCCTCGCCGACCTCTCCCGAGGCGGCCCCAGAGCGGTTGCCCCCCGTCAGCACCACCACGCCGCCCAGCTGCGCCAGCTGCCCGTGCCCCGCTCGCTCCTGCGCCCGGCACACGCGGGCGCACAGCTCGGTGAGGAAGCAGCCGAGAAGCAGCCGGAGGACGCGGCGCATCGTGTCTCCCAGCCCGGGCTCGGCCACTCGGCCGCCGCTGGAGCCGCTGCAGCCGCCTCTCGAGGCGCGGCCGAAGCTGCCGAGGCTGCTGCCGGGGGCTGCGAGCCGCCGCGGGCCGCACNCCCGCGGGCGAGCGGGCGGGAGCCAGGCGGGGGGCGTGCGGAGTCGAGCCGGGCTGGCGGGCGGACAGGAGCGAGCTCTGGCAGCCGCAGTGGCTGAAGGCACAGCTCGGATTTCCCGGCAGGTGGGGGACGGCGGCGGGACCTCCCGCGCCCTCACTGGGCTGGAGCCGCGGTTCCGACCTGTTCGGGGCGCGGAGGCGGCTCCGCCGGTGGCTTTTTCCCGGGTGCGTGCGCAGAAGCGGCGGCTCGAGTCGGCCCACCGGGGAAAGGGGTGTCTCGAAGGGTTGAGGGACAGACCAGGTGGCTTCCACTCCAAGACGGAGTGGGGCGCGATCTGATCAGGATCGTCCCTCCCAGGTGCCCGGGGACTGCCTGGCCCTTTCCTGGGCCGTGCCCTCCAACCCGGGACCAACCCGGGCTGGGTCGACTCCCGGGACCTAGGCGAGGACCGAGGCAGAGCTGGGAGGGCGCCTGGGCCCGGGGTAGGCACCCCCGGGAGAGGGGTTCGGGATGAAATTAAGTCAAAGAAACGCAGGGAAGGTGAGGCAGTGACCACCGCCGAGGCGATGACCTGGCCCCAGAACGTCTTTCCTTGGTACTCTCTCCCAGGCCCCTGGACCGGCCACTTGGTCCCTCTTCGCCGAAGCCGCCTTCTCCGCGCTCCACAGGAGGGCCACACCGCGGCGCCGCCTCTGCGCGCCCAGATCTGGTGCAGCGCAAGGCCTGGGCGCCCAGCCTCGGCAGCCCTCCCGTACCTGCAGCCCTCGCGCATCGTTCTCTGGGAGCCGGCTGGCCCCTGTCCCCACCGACTCCCACCACCACCCCGGATATCCTCACCGGAGCTGCCGAACCCGGCCTTGCTTCCTCGGCTCCAAGTCTCCCGTGGTCAGTGTTTCCAAATCTGCCCTAGCTCACATCAGCCGATTCCTGCCAGCCGTCGGCCCTCTCCCATTTCTCCCACTTCTTCCTCTCCTCGGCTTGAATTTGACTCCAGTAGCCCCTAAAACAGGATTTGTACCAAAGCTGCTACACCAAATTTAGATCCCCACACGCCCCTGCGTTTTGTTTTTTAATTGCATTAACTAAGTATACACTTTGCAGTAGGCTAGGCGATTTGCAGGCAAATGTTTCCACCACCCCTCTTCTCCATTTGGCTGCAGTCAAGGGCTTCTCAGGGCATTTCCGAAGAATCAAGAGCTTGGGCCACACAGAAGGTGACATACTACGGTGGGGGTCTCCTTAATTGGAAAATCATGGGGTTTTAATGGGACTGGTTTGCAAATTTTCTCAGCAGGAGAGGGGGTTCTGCTATTTATGCCTTCTCTTTGAAGAAATGGTCACCTACTCTCTCCCACTGAAGACTAGCAGAGAATGACCCGATTCCAACAAAAACACACCAGGGCCATATTGATAGAGCCATATCCAGGAGTGAACCAGCCCTGGAAGAATCAATGAACTACGGGCTGTTATATCCCAAACCCATCAGGACAAGGCATGAGATTGCATAGTCTGAACTCCTTGTGTTCATCAGAACAGGATCCCCCAAACAAGATAGTGTCCACCCACACCTGTGTCCACGCACACCTGTGTCCATGCACACCCACCACCACGGTGTGAGTCTCTGCAAATGCAGGTGTGTGAGCTGACCACAGCTGACATTTATTCGGTGCCTGTAACATACCCAGTAAGTTTGCTTGTTGTAAAATCACCTCCTCACGATGCTTAAAGCAGTGCCTCGCATCTAGCAGACAATCTGGGAATATTTGCTGAACCATTGAGTGACTGATCTCATTTAATTCCCCCCTGTTAGGTAATCTTTCCAAGCCCACACAACAGAAGGAGAGACTGAGGCCCAAAGCAATTAAACCAGGTGCCCAAGGAAACATAGCAAAGAAGTGCTGCTGTTGACATTTGACCCAAGAAATTTGACTCAGGAGCCTGTGTTCTAACCACTGCAGGTAGCGCCTTCCTAAAATAGGCCTCCACACTCTCCATCCATCTGGCAGTATATTATTATTTCTTTTTTTTTTTTACTGTCATACCACATTGAAATATAAAGCCCAGGTCAGAAAAGGCTCTGACTCTGGCAAGAGTCCCCCAGCATCCAGAACAATGTGGATGTGGGAAATACTTTAAAAATACGTTGTTGTTGTTTAGTCGCTAAGTCATGTCCAACTCTTGCTCAAAGACTGTGGCCCACCAGGCTCCTCTGTCCATGGGATTTCCCCGGGCAAGAATATGGGAGTGGGTTGCTGTTTCCTCCTCCAGGGGATTTTCCTAGACCAGGGATGAAACTCTAGTCTCCTGCATTGGCAAGCAGGTTTTTCACCACTGAACCACTGGAGAAGCCCCCCCCCAAATACCTACAGGCTGTTTTAATGAATTAATTAACATCTTTTATGCAACACCCTGTCTTTAAAAGAGGAAAGAAACTCTGAGGGCTAAAATAGACATGCAGAGGGTTTGGAATCTTTTCACATGAGAATTCAGAATTGAGAAGAGCTGCTCCAACACTTTTGCTTCAGTCCAGGAAGGTGAGGCTCAGAGAGGTTAAGGACTTTGTCCAAGGTCACACACCCAGCAAATGGGAAATGCAGAGCTGGATGCAGAGTGCCGGGCCCCTAATCCCAGGTCTCCTGCCATCCTACCCCACTGCACCCCATGTGACACTTCCCAGCAAACACCAGGGCTGAGGGCAAGACCCCAACAGAAGGCTGCATCACAGACACCTTCCTGCAAAAGAGGTTTGAAGGCATTCCTAAATTTGATTTTTTTTTTTAAAGAAAAAGCTCAGCAAAAAGAGACAAAATCTAGACTGAAAAGTCCATTTCAGAAGCAGCCTCCAATCTCTGCAAAATATTGCCTGTCACCAGGACATTTGAGTCCGATCCTCAGAGGAGACGGGCTCTGGAGGCTGCTGCCGGCTTTAATTAACAGAGACTGCCCCCTGTTTGTGACAGAGAGAGTGCAGGGGATGGCTTTGGGAAGAAGCAGACCTAATCCACTCTGCGTGGCTTATTTGCCAGATTCCAAACCTGAAGCCCTGGAAGCTTTGCCCCAACCAAATTCCCTTCCTGCTCCCACCGGCCATGGCTGTCAGTGTCCCCTGGAATACTGCCAAAGCCTATTTCCTAAGATTTGGAAAAATACTCAGAGGAGAGGGGAATCATCTTCATTTTACTCCTCAGAGAAAAAGTCGATTTCCTCTGGGTATGTCAACTCAGGAAACAGATTCACTACTTCCTACCAGATGTGTGATTATTGGGAACGTGCCCCCATTTGGAACATGTGATTGAGAAGATATTTCTTTCAGGGCTTCTGGGGATGAGGGGTGGGGTGCGTTTATAAACTTCCTAATTGAAACACCTGGCAAGTTCATGGAAGATGAAAAATTGTTATTAAACGCCACCCCCTACCACTACCCAAATGAATTCATGCAAATGTGTCGAAATTAAAATGTAGTTCTTAATGAAAGTGCTTTCTGTGAAAGAGATGATGAAATTATTATTTACGACACAGGGGCTTTTAATATCTGAAGAAGAATCTCATTTGCTCCAGCCTTACTGCTGTCGGGCTGCAGTATTGAGAAGGCAATTGTGCCCCACCCCCCTCCAACAATTAGTGGAGGTAGCGTTGTGACGAAGGATGTTCACTTACCAGGACTTGCAGTGAAGGATGCTTGCTTACCAGGACTTGTAACCCACGTCCAGAAGCAGCTCAGCAAATCAGATGATTTGTGTAGTGATCCTCACTCCCAGGAGTTCTTTGTTAATTGTCCTCATCCGGTGCCTTGGGGTTTCAAAGTAGTCTCTAAGCAACTGTTAGCCTTGAGAAAGAAAGAAAGAAAAATAAAGCATTGAAACAGAAGCTGTTGGTTTAAATCCTTAGGGAGCTTCCCAGGTGAAATTCCAAACTGGCCCATCTCCGGAGAAAGAAGACAGGAGACAGAGGCAGCCACTTCAGATTAGCAGGATTAATAAACATGGGAATTTATAGATGAGTTTGTCTTGAGTGGCTCCAAGAGGAATAGATCTGTACTCGTCTGCTAGTCTTAACTGTTTATTTAGACTTTTGCATCCTTGGAACAGCTTCTAGTGTGGGAAAAGTGGCTGGAGTGTATATTTCAAGGGCCAAGGAGAGTCAGGAGCCTCTCATTGCCCAGGTCTAGCTCTCAGGTCACATCCTCTTTATGACCTTCTCCAACAGAAGCCAAAGTGTTACTAACACCCTGCCAGATTCAAGTAAAATACTGAAATGATGTATTTTATTCTCTTGTTCTGAAAAGATAAGAAGTTTTATTAGAAGAAGAAAAGTGGGTCTGCTATACAGTTCTCTCAGACTGTAGTGTAGTCCTAGTATGTGAGATGATTTTTGGCGGTACTCCAACCAAGATTTTTTTGAATTTTTTAAGTGACTTTAGCATATTTTTATTTACTTATTTTTATTTTTTGAGTGCACAATGGGGCACGTGGGATCTTAGTTCCGCTACTAGGCATCAACCCGTGCCCCCTACAGTGGAAGCATGGAGTCTTAAACCCTGGACCACTAGGGAAGTCCCCCCAACAAAGATTTTTTTTTTATATAGTTTTATATTTGTTGACTGGAAAAAAAATGCACAACCTAAAAAGTTGAGGATTACATTTTATTTGGCGGACATTCTAAGGACTTCAAGTCAGGAAGACAGGAAGACAGGACTCTCAGCTCACTCTGAGGGACTGCTCTGAAGAGGTAAGGAGGGAAGGTGGATATACAGGAGTTTTGCAACAAAGGCCAGGTTATCATGAAGAGGAAAAGTTAAAATTTTACATAACCTCCTGCTCCTTCTGCCTCTGTAACTCAACTTGCTGCTTGAAAAGTCTGGATCACATAGGTCAGGTAGTTTCAGAAATTGGGGACTTACAATACTAGGAACTGGAGCTTATCTCACTCACCTTTGTCCTGCTCTTTGCAACTGCCCAGCCCCTGCAATCCTGCTTAATCATGCCTGTCCATG